GCACTCTCTGTCTAGATGTGCTGATGTGGCTGGTTGTGCCACAGCCAGGAACCAGGGCCAGGAGATAGCCTCGCCTGTCTCTTTCTAGGGGGTGCTAATCTAATTAGGCCCACCTCCTAGTGCGAGATTCCCAGAACCTGCAACCCCCACACGGGGAGCAGGTTTGCTCCTGCAGGCATCCCACTCCTCCCCACACCCTTCCCTCCGCACATCCCACCCTTCCCTCATGTCTCACATCTCACCTAGTGCGAGATTCCCAGAACCTGCAACCCCCACACGGGGAGCAGGTTTGCTCCTGCAGGCGTCCCACTCCTCCCCACACCCTTCCCTCCGCACATCCCACCCTTCCCTCATGTCTCACATCTCGCTCCCTGAGCCTGGGTCTTCCCTGTAAAGGGCAGAGGTGGAAAAGGAGGTGACAGTCACTACTTCCTGCTACCCTGACTGAGCTCTTGGTGTCTTAGGCAGGTTAGCATCAGAAGGGTACCTGAAGACTCCTTGCTGTCCCCATGGGATCATGCCACCAGAACAGAAAAGGTGAAATTCAGGGACATGGATGGGGACCTCACGAAGTCACAAGAAGTGGAGACACTATGGTGTGCCATCACCCTCAGGGGATTCACTGTTCATGATGGTGCTGATTTCTGTGACCCAAATGCCTTGAAAGCTCTTTGTTTGAGAAATGGTGTTTCAGGACTTGGCTGCACCCCCTTCCCTCTAGGGTCTCCACCAGTGGCACCGTGTTTGGGGGTGACTTCCCAGATGGAAGGTGAGGTGCTCACAACCACCCCGTGGAGCACCTCCCTCTCTGCCATCCTCCTGGCACTGTGTTTTATGAAGTGAGTGAGTCCCAGGAGCCCCCTTGTACAGATGTCCAGACCCATGGCCCACCCACAGGCCACAGCTGAAAGCCTTCTCTTCAAGCTTTAGGTCACGTTGGTTCTTTTTCAAGGAAATCGCCCTCGGCCTTCCTACCCAGAAATAGCTTCTTTCGTGGCTCCTGTCTCCCTTCCAGTTTAGAATAGCGCTTAATCTAGATCGTGTTTGCATTGCAGCACCTGCAGTTATCTCCGCTGCTGGATGGCCAGCCCTCAGGGCCCGCACTGTGCTTAGTTCATCTTTGCCTCCCCCACATCCCCAGCACACGGTGGCACTCAGTAAATATCTGTTGAATGACTGAATGAGCATCTGGAAATTTCCTGTTGCAGTTTGGGGATCTGGCAAAAGAGACGGACTTTACCAACCAAATTGGCAGAGGGCATGGGCTGATTACCTGAACAATATGAGTTGTCTGTGTCATTTAGTGTCTGCTGCCACCTCCCCAACCCCTTTGCAGCCACCAGCAGGACCCCTAGTAGCCAGGGGCCTTCCCTTCCCAGACATTTCTTACCTTCCTACCCAGATGTCATCTGAGTCCACCTTGAGCTTCGAGGTTAGAGAACGAAAGCTTAATCCCCCATCTTCATCTCATGTTTTGTGAGGAGTCCAGTGTCCTCCCTGACGCCCACAGCCAATATTTCTAATTCCTTTTATAGTCTCAAGGAGCTTTAATAGTCTCAAGGTGCCTTCCATTTCTGCAAATGAATGGGCTTAGAGCTCCAATTCTGAGACTCTCCCAATGGCCGTGTGCTGCTTCTCTTTGGTCTGGGCCATGTCACTCCAAATGTAAACATCCCCCTGCGGAATACCTGGGCGACCTGATCCTCTGCTCTCTGAGGCATCTCGCAGACTGCGCCCAGAGGGCTCACTCCGTTTCCCCACACGGACAGCTCAGCTCGGGTCCCTCAGAGCTTCCGGTGGAGAGCCAGGCCCAAGCACCTCACTCCACTGTCCCAGCCACTCCTGTTTCAGGCATAGAGACAGTGGAGGAGGAGCAGAGCACTTCGGCTCTCTAGACTGTTGTGTCTTCACCGATGTGGGGTAATAATAATAGTTCCTGCTTCATGTGTAACAAATGATAGGCAGCACGAGGCCTGGCCTGTGCTGAAGGGGCAGAATGTGCCCGCGGCTGCTGTTGTCCCCACGCTCGGTGCCACCACTGCATGTCACAGAGGCGGCAGTATGGCTCCCCGAGCAGAAGAATCCCCTCTTGGGGCCCCCAACCACACAAGAGAAGGGCAGGGGGCTTGGGCCTCACCCTATCTTCCTCCACCAGTCTCTGCAGGGGAAAGAAGGGGATACTGATTGGTGTCCCCACTGATGTGACTGTGGCTGCCTTACGAGGCAGACCAGATTCAGCGCATTTGGATTTACATACTTTGTTTTCCTCCCCCTGTTACCTAAGATCTCCCCCCACCCACAATCCACTCAAATCACCTCTGCAAGCACCCAAGACCCAAACAGAGAGGTGCGGCTGGTGGTGCAGGGGGTGCACAGCCCCAAATAAGACCTGGACCCAGAGCATCCAGACAGTGGGTGACGGCGGGGCTCCCAGGGTCCCTCCCTCCTCACTGCAAGACACATGAGATCTGGCCAGTGGGAGGGGCTCTGAGGAGAGTGCTGGACTCCCTGCCTCAGCGGCAGGCACTTGGGTAGGAATTAAAGTATCTGCGAAATGCTTCTACTTTGTTAAGAATACAGTTTGGAGATTACGTTCAAATAGAACATCTTTTAGTTGCTAACTTGCAGTTCAAACGCATTGCCTGCGTTCACCTAGGGGTGGGGTGGAGGGCGTGGCTGTGTCCTGTGGCGGTCCACTCTCACGCCTAATACCTGCCAACCTCTCAGGACCTCGTGGCCAGCCCCTCCTCACACCCATCCCCCGCTACCCACCAAGCCCTCTCCACTTCGCTGAGGCCTCTGCCCGCCCGCCCTCTGACCTACCCAATGCACATTGCAAAGCTCATCTTTATACCTGCCAACCTCTCAGGACCTCGTGGCCAGCCCCTCCTCACACCCATCCCCCGCTACCCTCCAAGCCCTCTCCACTTCGCTGAGGCCTCTGCCTGCCCGCCCTCTGACCTACCCAATGCACATTGCAAAGCTCATCTTTCTCACACAAGACTTTGCGGTTTGAAATGCAGGTTTTATCATTCTTTAGGTACAGCAAGGCCAACAGATCAGGAGATGAGCACCATTGAAAGGACAGTTGGTTCCTCATGATTCCCAAGAGGAGGGGGCACACAGGCAGAGAAGAGGAGCATGGGGAAAAGGCCTTCACTGTGTTTTCCATGGGAAGGACCAGGCCAGGTGGGCAGGCAGGCCCAGGACCAGATGGTCTGAATAATTTCAGGCTGCTCCTAGTCGTCTGGCACCTGGACCTGGGGCTATCAGGGCTGCGAAGCTAGCTTCGAGTTTCTCCACCTCTGGTCACTGCCATGGGGTCCAGCCTTGCCCACCACTCTGCACTCTTTCTCCACGAACCCTGTGTTCCAGCAAAACCACACTCTTCAGGGCTTCCTGTCAAAGGGAAGGTGTAAAAGCAACACCCCCAGCCCCAGGTGTTTCTTCATGCCCACCTCCTGCTATCTAGCTAATCAAGGCTTGTCTTTAGTGCCATGTGCTCTATGAGAGTCTTTAGTTGGTGGTGGGGGTGGGACAAGGGTCGGCAGGGGCGACATTAGGCACAGAGCTCTGCTCATGTCAGTGCCTAGACAAATGTCCTGTTTCTTCTCATCTGCACAAATGCTCCAACTCCTTAAAGTGGCACATAAAACCTTTCCAGGGACCCCGCAGCCCATTTGCATGTTCTTGCCTCCCCCGTCCTCTGACCTTTGCGGGCCTTGCCTCTTTGTACATGATGGTTTTTCTCCTCCTCTTCCCTGAGCACCTGAAGACAGAGCTGTGTCTGCTCTTGATCAGCTGGGAGCCTCTGTGCGCCAGCACCAGCGAGAGCAGTCGTGAATAGGCATTGCCGAGTTAGCAATACTGAGAGTCAGCCTTTGAGACAACGAAGAGAACGTTGGCGGGCTGTCAGAAGACCATGTCCAGGATAGATTTTTCATGGACTTGCGATCCGCCCCTCACCACCCGCAAAGTGAGGGGTTTGTAGGCATCATCTGGAGGTGTGTGAACTGAGAAAGCTCCTTCAGTAGAACAGAAGTGACTTTTTTCCTTCCCTGGTTGGAGAGTTTACCTACTGACCTTTGATTTTTTCAGCTTGGATCCTTCCATGGTGGGGTTCAGAATGTCCTGTGAATATCACCAGATTTTCAGACCTAATGATCATTCTAAAATTGAATAGTGATTGCAAAAACAGAAAGTTCTTTTTTCCCATGCCCAGACTCTGATGGGCCTTTTCCCTACTTTCTTCTCACTGAACTAAACACTTTCCAAGGATCACCTGCCCGTATATTTTCTTGTTCTGATGGCTGGCCTAAGGAGCCATGCCACAGCCTGTCCCACCTCCCATGGCCCACTTTGGCTTCAGGCTTCTGTTTTCATCATAGTAACATGTCATCATCTCCAGGTGATGTTACAGCCATGGTGAGCTGGGAGAAGAGGATACAGTATGGGGATGGGTAAGGATAGGGCATGGAGACCTCCGAGCTACTGCATCTCTGGTGGATATTTATGGAAGGCTTGTACTCATAGCCCTCACAGGGCAGGATGAGGGGACAGTGGCTTAAATTGCAGCAAGAGAGTTTGTAGGTGGAACGCATCTGCTGCAGGAGTTGAAGAACCATCTGCCTGGTGGAGACGGAGGACCTGGGGGAACGATCCAGTCCCTGCCAGCACCTGATATTATGACCACTTTTTTGGTTTTGGTCTTTATTTCCATGTGGTTATTTCTAAAGTACCAATTTACCTAGTCTGCTTCTTAAGTAAACCAGAATATTTATGACATGACACACACTTATACGTATACATATTAAACCTGGTATTTGCAGTCACAAGAAAGCAACCACTGCCTCCTACCCTGTCTAAAAATGACATCCATGTCTTTTGGATATTTACTTTACAGCTTAGATTTCAACCCGAAGTTGGCCCGTCGTGGAGAAAAATACCTGTGACCAACACAAACTAATTTTCTTTTTTTTCTTTTTTCTCCCTTAGGATTATACCTTAACCATGTATTTTCAACAATATTGGAGAGATAAAAGGCTCGCATATTCTGGGATCCCTCTCAACCTCACACTTGACAATCGTGTGGCTGACCAGCTTTGGGTGCCCGACACATATTTCTTGAATGACAAAAAATCATTTGTGCATGGAGTGACAGTGAAAAACCGCATGATCCGCCTTCACCCTGATGGGACGGTGCTGTACGGACTCAGGTCTGTCTCCCTCTTTGGGGCCAATTTTGCAGTTACATGGTGCATTGGCATTGAATTTTTTACTTGAGATAATTATAGTAAGTGAGACTATGTCCTCAGATTAATTAGGAAACATTCATGAAACACTTTGAACTTTGCAGGAAAAAAAAATCTCATAAGCATAAGATTTGGGGCATTACTGTTACTATAAATAGTCATCCAGCCATTGAAAAACAGCCTCCTTGGATTGATTGTATATAATTGGGTTGCCATATCTAAGAACCCAGATTCCCTCAGGAAGGATTTCCCATATCATAGCCACAAAGGCCTTTAATTAATATCGCCCTGACACTGCAGAAGCTTTAACAAAGTTTTCCCAAAGCTATTTGCATAGTTGAAAAAATGTCTGGTGTGCAGATTATATGGTATAGTCTCCATGAAGCTTTATGAGGTGGTGCCACGAATATTTATGGGAGTAACTAAGTAGTGAGAGGCTTCCTAATGAGAAAGATCTCTCTCCAGGTCTCCTAATGTAATCGCTCAAATCAGGAAACCAGGCTGCCTTCCTGAGCCTGGAGGAGGAGGCCCCAGGCTTCCTTCGTTGCCCTGGAAACTGCCAGACCTTCCTGTGGTGGTCCTTCACTGCTGGTGGTTAATTATTTTGAATATCACCTTGCTAAATGGTGCTCTTAAAAACCTCTGTCTCTTGCATTGATTTTGCACTGATTTTTACTTTGTTTTGTTTTAGAATAATATTTTGGGTATGTGCATGTGTCTCTCTCGATTACCTGGCCTACAAGTGCCCTCAAGGCCTTCTAGGAGTGGCCCACAGTTTTGAGTGGAACACGTGGATGTCTTGGAGAAAAGATTTGTCTGAAAATGATGAGTCCAGAGCCATCTAACTAAGACTCCAACAGCTATAAGTAAAATCATAAAAACGTGTGTTTAAATCCACACCACTGAGACTTTTGGTGTCTCAAGATAAGTGAAGGGAATAATTTAACATTGCTTTAAATAGGAGCTGTTGAGTGACTTCTCAATACCTTATTGTGTGGAGTGAAAGTTGGGATTGTAGCAAAATCACACTTTTTGACTGTAATAGAAAATAGTGGCACATGTCAAAGTGAAGGGAATAATTTAACATTGCTTTAAATAGGAGCTGTTGAGTGACTTCTCAATACCTTGTTGTGTGGAGTGAAAGTTGGGATTGTAGCAAAATCACACTTTTTGACTGTAATAGAAAATAGTGGCACATGTCAACTAAGCCATGGTTTTGCTTCAAAAAGAATCTAGTTTGAAGTTTCTTTGGGAGGATTTCAGCATTTTATATTTTTGCCCCAAGTTGAGAGATGTGGTTATAAAATTCCAGAGGTTCTGAGAAGTATATCAGTTGTGCAAACAATTATTAATTAACTCTGTGAGCATGAAATGAAGAGCCATTTACCTGCCTCCCACCCCCCAAAAATTAAAACAGAAGCAGATATACCTGTATGAATGTGTGTTTGCATGAATATGATGTGTCCATGTGTGTGCATGTGTATGATGAGTGTGTGCATGTGTGCACACATGCATGGTACATGTGTTCCAGTGTGCGGTGTGTGTGTGTACATGTATGGAACATGTGTGTGTGTGGTGCGTGTGTGTGGTGGGGGAAGAGCAAAAGAAGCAAATACCAACAAAAGTGAGTCCAGGAGTTTTTGGCTTTTTAAACACAACTTGCTCTTTGGGTTCCCTCCGTTTCATTTTGCATTCCTCCTTTTCTTAGCAGAAGTAGAGTACGCTGGTATGTTGCTGTTAAAAGCAAAGAGCTTTAACTCTGTCAGGACAGAATTATATAATACGTGTAAAAGCACTAATACATTTTCAAACTCCTTTTGAAAATCTTGGATTTAGTACAATAAAACAGGTAAGAGTGGCTTGCGCACATGCTCTCCAGTGGATGTAGAATACCCTGTCTCTAGATATTCCTGTTTTCAGAATCATTATAATGTAACTATGTAACTGAGGACAGATCAACTGTCACCTTTGCAAGGAGAGCTTTTCTCTGATCATTTATTCATTTCCTGTTATATCACTGTATTAGTCTGTTTCTGTTGCTTATAAACAAAATATCGAAGTAGGTAATTTTTAAGACAACAAAATTTATTGCTTATGGTTTCAGAGGCTGTGAAGTCTTTTCTGTGCAGGGAACACATCTGATGAGGGTCTTCTTTGGTGGTGGCTTTTCAGCAATGCAGAAGTATCACATGGCAGAAAATGGAGGAACAGAGCGAGAGACTCCCATGTGCTCTCCTTTTAAAGCCCTCAGAATCATGCCCCTGACCACCATCATTAATCTAATCACCTCTTCAAGGCCCCACCTTTCAATCAACTGCAATAGGATTTCCCACCCTTTTAACAGTCACAGTGGTGGTCACGCTTCTAATACATCAAACGTGGGGGACACAATTCAATCCATACCAATTACCTTGTTTGGTTTTTGTCGTACACTTATCCAGATCTGATTTGTCTGGTCAATTTACTACATTTCTTATTTTTTGACTCACTGCTCCCACCCGTGTCAAAGGGGGAAGAACATGAGCTCTGAGAAAAGAACTGTTTCTGTCTTGGTGACTGTTCCATCCCCAAATCTAGAGTAGTGTCTGCCAAAAAAAAAAGTATTGTATGAGGGTTAAGTTTGAATTTCAATTCTTCTTTCTGTAGTATTTATATATTTTTTAAATTTCCATTAAAATTTTCAATCCTTTAACATTTGTCTCGGTACACGATGTGAGGTGGCTGTCAGGTTTTCTGCTCTCAGATGGTTAGCTATTTGTTCCCATACTCACCAGTTTATTCTTCCATGTGAACTTTTGAATCATTTGTTTTATCAAATTCCTAAAAGTACCGTTTGCGATGTTTGTTGGAACAATGCGTATGAAACACCGCTTTGTGAAGAACAAAAGCTACCCTATGTGCACTCTTTTCTGCATAAATATGACATGTCTGCCTCTGTTCTTGTCTTCATGTATGGCTTTTAGTAAGGTTTTGTCATTTTCTCCATCGACCACACACTCATTTCTTGATAAGTTTATTCCTATTTTTTAAAAGTATGGTGCTGTTAAGAATGGGACCACTTTTCATTGTCTTTCTAGCTGGCTCTCCCCGGTATATGGGAAGGCTATCGATCTGTTTATGACTGTCTTTATGTATGCACCTATCCAAAATCATATCCAGCTGGGCTAATCTCTTATTATTTTCAATAGTTTAGTTAATCTTCCTGAGGATTTTAGTCTTACAATGATATTGCATATAGTGATGATTTTTATCCTCATTTTTAATAGTTTTTATTCTTGTTGCTGTTTCTTGTTTTATTGCATCGACTCGAACTTACAGAACAATGATAAACTACTGGGATAAGAGTGTGTGGTATCACCTCGTTCTTCATTATAATAGGGGTGCTGTTTGTGCCCCACCGTGAAGGACAACTTGCACTTTTAATTCAGGAATTGCTTTTCAGAAGGGAGTATGCCAATTTATACTCCCATAAACTATGGGATAAACCATGTATTAGCTTTGAATTCTGACACCTGCTTTGGGATTTACCATTATTTAGGCTTCTGTAAATAATCCATTTTCTTCATCCTCGAGGCTGGAGACAACCACGTGTCTTGCCCTAAGTTCAGGTTCATACATTTCTCTATGGCCCACCCCACAGCATGTTTATTCTCCCCTTCATACTTATGTTGAGAACAGAGCAACTTCTCCATCTTCCCATCTAAAGAGACCATCTGATGGGCCTGATGCTCACTCCTTGCCTCCTCTCTCAAAATGAGCAGTGGTCCCTGATCACTTCAAGACCCAGTATCCCCTCGGCATCTTCTCCCCACTCAAGGATTTGTCTCCTGCAGTTCTAACCCCCCTTTCTACTGCTGTTCTCCCTCTCACCATGCTGCCAGTGTGCAGCCTTCTCACTGCTCTTCAGAACTGTCAGGGATGTCCCTGTCTCAAGGCTTGCGCACATGCTCTCCAGTGGATGTAGAATACCCTGTCTCTAGATATTCCTGTTTTCAGAATCATTATAATGTAACTATGTAACTGAGGACAGATCAACTGTCACCTTTGCAAGGAGAGCTTTTCTCTGATCATTTATTCATTTCCTGTTATATCACTGTATTAGTCTGTTTCTGTTGCTTATAAACAAAATATCGAAGTAGGTAATTTTTAAGACAACAAAATTTATTGCTTATGGTTTCAGAGGCTGTGAAGTCTTTTCTGTGCAGGGAACACATCTGATGAGGGTCTTCTTTGGTGGTGGCTTTTCAGCAATGCAGAAGTATCACATGGCAGAAAATGGAGGAACAGAGCGAGAGACTCCCATGTGCTCTCCTTTTAAAGCCCTCAGAATCATGCCCCTGACCACCATCATTAATCTAATCACCTCTTCAAGGCCCCACCTTTCAATCAACTGCAATAGGATTTCCCACCCTTTTAACAGTCACAGTGGTGGTCACGCTTCTAATACATCAAACGTGGGGGACACAATTCAATCCATACCAATTACCTTGTTTGGTTTTTGTCGTACACTTATCCAGATCTGATTTGTCTGGTCAATTTACTACATTTCTTATTTTTTGACTCACTGCTCCCACCCGTGTCAAAGGGGGAAGAACATGAGCTCTGAGAAAAGAACTGTTTCTGTCTTGGTGACTGTTCCATCCCCAAATCTAGAGTAGTGTCTGCCAAATCCAGATCTGATTTGTCTGGTCAATTTACTACATTTCTTATTTTTTGACTCACTGCTCCCAGCCGTGTCAATGGGGGAAGAATATGAGCTCTGAGAAAAGAACTGTTTCTGTCTTGGTGACTGTTCCATCCCCAAATCTAGAGTAGTGTCTGCCAAAAAAAAAAAAGTATTGTATGAGGGTTAAGTTTGAATTTCAATTCTTCTTTCTGTAGTATTTATATATTTTTTAAATTTCCATTAAAATTTTCAATCCTTTAACATTTGTCTCGGTACACGATGTGAGGTGGCTGTCAGG